TATCAATCCTTGGCTGAGGGCTTACTAGGAACCAAGTGGTACTCTTTTTCATTTATTTATTTTAAAGATTTTTGCCACAGGGCATATGTGCTCACCAGAGAGACACAGAGAAGAAAAATGAGAAAGTACATCACAGGGGGAAATGGCTATTCAGCAATCCCATCTCCTCCATTCTTCTCTTGGGATTTTGGGCATGTATGCACATGCACCTGGTGTTTTTTTCAAGCCACCGGGTCCAAGACTCAAAACACGGGGTTGGCCATGTGGAATCCACTGCCTTAACTACCTCACCAACCTGTTGGCCCCTGAATCAAGTGGTATTTTAACCAAGTACAATTCTTATATTAATCTAGTTAAGCCTCTTAACAGTCCTATGAACCAAGGTTAATGTCACTGTTGACCGTGAAGAAGGGACAGACGCTAGCACTATACCTAGTTTGTCCATGGGGCAGGAAGTAGGTTCAGATAGCCTCCTGAGCCTGCCTCTTAGCCACGACAGCCAAGAGAGTTCCTAGAAGACAAGTGGTATGCTACAAGAAAGGAAAAAGAAGCCAGTAACAAAAATAAGAAAAAAAGTAAGACTTCTTCCAAAGGGTAGAGAAAAAAGAAGAGACAATAGAAAAGGAAAGACGATCCAAAGATCAGCTTTGGTAGTTCATCACTCAGTTCTTATAAATTCCAGGAAGACAACAGAAAAAATAAAAGGTACTGAACGCAAGTGTCTTCCTGAGCCCAGGCACATAAGTTCCTAGGACAATAAACAAACAGACCAGGCCAAAAAAATCTAAATAACAAGGGTGAAAGATTCTTAAAACTTCTAGAGATGCATCAGCAGGTGGCATAGAGCTTTAAAGCACTGGATCCCACAAGGCTGACAGTGTGGTTTGAGTCCTGGACACAGTGGCTTGAAAATGATAGCAGGCCTGTGTGTATACAAGCCCTAAATCCCAAGCAGCATGGTCATCCACCCTCGGGGATGATTCTTCCTCACTTTTTCTCTTTCCTTCTCTCCCTCTCTGGCAAGTACATGTGTTCTATAGGAAACAAAACAAAACTTACAGAGAAAAAGAAAAGGTCACATACATAAGCAAGGGAATCAGATGCCATCACACAGGTTTCAGTTAAACAGTGGATGAAATATCAATCATCTTCAACATTCTGAGGAAAAGAAAATCATTCTTAACCTAAAATTCTATTCCTAGGCAAATCTTCAATCAAGTTTTAGGGAGGAGTACAAATATTTTCAAAAAGCCAAAACAATCTATCAGAAACCTCCTTTTCAGGAATCTGCTGGAGGTATAACTGGCAAAATGAGAGTTAAAAAAAAAAAAAAAAAAAAAAAAGAGAGAGAAAGGAACAACACGGATCTGACTTCCAAAAAAATAGTGAAGAAAAATCATAGGGTCTAAGTCTGAAACCTTGAGAGCAACATTGTAGGGTGGAAGAAGACTGAGTTACATGAAGTCATCTCTGGGGAAGTAAAGAGCTGAAGGATTTTCTGACTAATGTATTGAACTGTTTACTCTTAAAAAAGAAAAATCACTAAAGACAAAGAAATAAGTATTAGGCGGGTGGGCTCTATGGCACAGTGGTAATGCACTGCTCAGGAGAAGCTGGATCCCACATGATGACTGTAGTTCAGTCACTGACCCTAGCCAGTCAGCCTGAAACATACCAAGCATGTGCACGAAGTACCCAGAATCTGGTGAACTGGGGGAATGGAGAAAAGGAACTGTAGTGTGCCCAGGCCCTGCAAACGTTGCTCATCTCTCCCTCCTGCTCTCTTTTCTTCACTGATGCATGCACACATACGTGTTATATCATGGATAAAAACATTTTTTTCTTTTTTTTGAGAGGTTTTTGCCATAGTGCGCACACACCTGCCAGAAAGACAGAGACAGACAGAGAGACAGAAAGAGAGAAATCACCCCCCGGGGGGATAGCCAAGCTGCAATCCCTTCTCCTCCGTTCTCCTCTCGGGATCTTGGGTATGCATGCACACGCGCCCGGCGTGAGTTTAAGCCACCGGGTCTGGGACTCAAACCGCAGTCGATTACATGGGAGTCCAGCCACACAGCCATTATGCTAACTGCTGATCCCGAAAAAACATTTTTAATTAGACAACTGGGCCAGTCAGTGGTTTGGTGGTTAAGGCAGCTGGATCCCACCAGGCCAGCTGCATGGTTTGAGTCCTGGACCTTGTAGCTTGAAAAACATCCTGGGTGCTTGTGCATGCATACCCAAAATCCTAAAAGGAGAAATGGAGAAGGGCCTGCCAAGCTTTTTGCCCCCCTCTCTCCCTACCCACCCTGTCTCTCTCCAGTAAGTACATGTACCCTCTAAAAATAAGTAATTTAGTAGGGCAATTCGGGGTGGCTCCATAGCCTACTGGCTAAGGGAACTGGATTCCACATGGCCAACCACAGGTCAATTCCTGGCCCTAATGGCTTGAAAAATACCAGGCACATATCCATGTGGGCCCCAAATCCCAACAGAATGGAGAAACAGAAGAGAAGGGATTGTAGCTTGACCATGCCCCACTGAGGTGGATGAGGTGCTTTCTCTCTTTGCAGTGCAAGCATCATTTGGCAACTAAAAACTACACAGGGCCTACTAAGGCACTAGACTCCTACATGGCTGACAATGGTTTGAGTGCCAGATCCTACAGCTTGAAAATCACGCTGGGCACATATATGTGCATGCCCAAAATCCTAGGAGAAGAATAGAGGTGAAAGAATTTGCAGCATGACTATGGCCCCTGAGAGCTGATTTCTCACTTTCCCTCTCACTCTCTTTGGTGAATGCATGCACCCTACGGCTAAAACCTTAAAAAAATAAAATATTAGGCAATCATTAACTCCAAGAAAGAGGTAACTTGTATGAAAAAGAAAAGGAATACTTTAACTCAGTAATGAACCATATTTAAATAGTCACCATAATACTGCAACAAAAAAATCATAATATAATTCTCTTAACTCCTTTTTTGGGGGGATAGATACATGTGGGCTGAAGGTGGCCTTAGTAAAAATGTTAAATCATCAGTTAACATACAGGAAGTCAATACTTACTGTTCAAAAATCAACAGCAGTATAAGCACATTATACTGAAATACCAGGAAGCAAAAAAGAAATGTGGATGGGAGAAGGGAAAGAAAGCAAAGGGAAACATGGTCAATGGGATTTCTGAAAGATGAAGTTATATTATTGATAAGTCAGTCCATGTGCCCACAGGGGAGAAACAAATAATGCAGAGTTAATAGGAAGAGATGGTGATGCAGACCACAAGTAGGGGAGGTGTTTAAGAAAGGAGAGAGATGCCTTCACCCAGGAGGATGCCAGTTATGCACAGCAGAGAAAGGGTATTACTCTGGGCATGGAAGATGATGGCTCATCAAGCTGTGTTTTTCCCGTAAGGCAAGAGAGACTATCTGTGAAGAATGAAATGGAGGGGAATACAGGTGGTTTGGGGAAGCCTGTAAAGAAAGCAGTCTAAAAATAAAGAGTAATAATCTAAAAATAAAGAGCAACTATAAAATGCAGGATTGCCTTCCAGTATCAATGTCCATTTGAGATTCAACGCCAGAGGCTTATCTGTTTTAATTCTACAAATACATTGAGTGACTACTCTAAGCCAGGCATTGCACAGGGCACGTAATGAACAAGACACAGTTCCTGCCTTCATGAGATTTACATTTCAGTCAATAAAATATTAAGTGTAAAGCAAGACCATTTAGTATAATTACTGTGATAACATGTTTCTAGCTTGTTCAATGGCATTGATATAGACAGTAAGGAGACAGATGTTGGTTAAACCTGGCTGGAAGTTTGACCAGAAGTGAGACATAGGCTGAGAGAAGCAAGGAGGTTCAGTGTGTGAGCAGCGGAGTGATTACTATATTAGACTCTGGGATCTAAGCCAGGCAGCAGAAAGAACATAGGGAGGGGTGACTGGAAGTGAAAAGCAATACTGAAAGAAGTTAAAGTGGGGGAGTAATAAACTGACTTGGCAGCACAAGAGATAAAAATCTGAGGGGTACTTAAAACAAATCTCAAATGTGGTACAGCTGATGATGACAGGCCATCTAGGGTCATTAGTCTTTTTTTTAAAGAATTATTTCTATTTTACTTACTTACTTACCTACATACCATCTAGGGTCATTAGTCTTTTTTTTTTTTAAGAATTATTTCTATTTTACTTACTATCTATCTATCTATCTGGAGTTATCTATCTATCTATCTATCTATCTATCTATCTCTATCTATCTATCTATCTATCTATCTATCATCTATCTATCTATCTATCTATCTATCTATCTATTTAGAGTTTTCTTTCTTCCTTTCTTCCTTTCTTTCTTTCTTTCTTTGTATTTATCTATCTATTTGGAGTTGACCAGAGAGAAAGTGAGAAAGCAAGCCACCAGGTCCAGGACTTGAGTCACAGTTGGCCATGTGGGCATCCAGCGCCCTTACCCACCACACCACCTGCCAGACCCAGGACATTAGTCTTAGAGATCCAAAACGGTGTCACTAGAGCCTAGGACCTTCATTTACACAGATATGGAAGCCACAGAAACAAAGGGAGACACAGCTCTAGAGGCAAATTCTAGGAGTGAGTATTCAGGTGTTTCATTCTTTTTTTTCCCCACTGACAGAATGCACAAGAGAGGAGGGAGTCAGTACAAGAGTTGGAAAGATGGGGGGGTGAGGGGTACAGGGTCTAGTCATGCCACAATCTCCTTCTCCAGCTCATCAGAATCCTGAGTGTGCCATGCCCTGCATGTTTCAGGTGGACTGGGCTGGGGATGCGACTTCTAGCACCACAGCCCAGCATGCTACTACTGCACACAGAGACCAGCTATGTTTTACTACTCTTGTACTTTTCCAAACTATTTTTTCAAATCAAAATCAAATATATTTCCTCAAATACACATTTCCTCCCCTTCTCTCAACTTTACTGCCACTACCATCATCTCTGCCTAGATTATTGTGACAGTCTTCTACCTGTTCTTCTCACTTCCTCTTCTGCCCTTCTGAGTCCAATCTCCATAAAGTAGTTGGAGGAACCTATTTAAAGGCATAAAGATAACATTATCGCCTTACTTATAATCCTATCAATACCGGACAGTTAATCTATTTACTGAAAAAGATACAGCACTTAAAACTTATCACTTGAAATTACTGAATCATTATAAAAACAAAATGAATTCATGACAAAAGCGAAGTATAAGATAATTTCTAGCAGTTTCATTTTTTCTTTCCCCTCTCTAGCTAGTTCAAGAATGAGTTATTTAAACATATTTCTTGGTAGGTTCCTGATATAAAATGCAGATCCACTGACCTAAGAACCATCGGCAGGATTTAGTGGAGGTCCATGTTCTGCATGCTCTTCATGAGACCACTACCCCCTTTCCTAGTATTCTACACCTCCACCTCACAACTGGGAACTGAATTAAAATACCAGTCCCAAGAAGTGGTTACAAAAACCAGTCCCCTACTTTCCCCTTGTCATCAAAAGGGATTTTGATGAAATATTTTTATGGAATGGTGTTCAACCTCTTTAGCTGTAGGACAAGGCAAAAGATAATCACTATGTACTCTCAAAAATGACTGAAATTAAAAAGACTGGCCATTCCGAATAGTCACAGGAACTCTCATATACTGCTCTTGAGAATGAAAATTGGTACAGCAATTGAAACTATTTAGCCATATCCACTAAAGCTAAACATAAAATCCTATGACTCAGAAATCCCACTCGAGATACACAGCCATCAGAACTTCATGTGTGTGTCACTAAAACATTTACAGAAATGGTAACAACATGCTCATAAAAATATCAAATATCCAGCAACAGTTGAAAACACGCATAAATCATGGTATGTTCCTGCATGGAATAGCACACAGGAATAAAAGCGAACAGGTTGACACTGCTGCCACTAATCCACGTAGCAACATGGGCTAGTCACAGGAAGACAAATACTAAAAATACAGATACAGTACTATACAGTAATATGCTTATGGTTTGATTCCATTTATGTATCAGCTTCAAAACAAGGGAATCTATTCCTAAATGTTTTATGTGGAAGAGTAGTTATGCTCCTTCTTAAACTGAGTTGATTACATGGATATGCTCATTTTGTGAAAATCCCTGTACTGCACACTTAGAATCTATGCCCTATTTGTATGTATATCATACTTTAACAAAAAACTGCATTTTCCCTGCATCCTGTTTACTTCGGTCACAAGAAGCTGTTTGCCCAGATTCTTATTCCATTTAGCTTTGTGCTCCCTCCAATCAGACTTGAGCTCCCATCCTTCTGAGACCCCTCTATTACATCCTCTGAATGCTCCTTTCATCTCTTTGCTCTGAAACTTGGTAGTCCTTGATAGCAGCTTCCCCCAGAGCTCTCTCAAATGGTAGCTGTTTGTTCTCCCATGCCCCACTTGCCAAAAGAGGTTTTCTCTTCACTCCATTTAATGAAGTCCCAGACCACTTACTTGCTCCTTCCTCAATCTCATAACCCTTTCATGTCTTTTCCTCTCTCCTCAAATTTCTTGCGCCCCAGCTACCTACTTCACTTTTCATTAATGATACTGCTTATTTCACTAAAAGGCAGAAGAATCCAGAAAAGAGTGGCCCATATTCTCTCACATCAATTACACTCCCTGCAGTCATAATGCCTTCCCCTTAAATTTTCCCTTGTAGCAATAGAAGGAGACACTGCTTTACACTGAAGAGCAACTGAAGCAAGGACTATGCTCTTCCCCATCTAAGGCACTACTCATTTTCTTCCCTCTAATAAATCTTTCCCATCTCCAAACAGAAGTGCTGTAATCCCCTCTCTTTCTCCCTATCTCTCTCTCTCTCTTTTTTTAAATGGGGCACTTTGTGCTTGCTAGAGAGAACACAACACAGACAGACAGACACACACACACACGAAAAGACTGAGAAAGCATCCCCAAGTGGAGTGTGGTCACACTGCAATTCCTTCTCTATTTCGCTGTACTGTCAAGATTTGGAGCACACCTGCACATGTGCCTGGTTTGTTTTTCAAACCACAGGGGCCAGAGTCCAAACCATCAGCAGTCATGTGGGACTCAGTCCCCTTAATCACAAGGCTATGGGGCTGGACTGTGTAATCTTCCATCTTGTAACACTTAGAAAAAAGTGTGACCTCCATATTCTCTCCCATCACTGCCCCATTTCTCTGTTCCCTCTGAAGCAAACTGGACAGTTCTCTGCAGTCACAGCCCCTACTTCCTTTCCTCTTGTTCTTTTTTGAACTTCCTTTTAATGAGTGTTTTGCTTCAACCACTGAGCAAATTCACCTATTTCAACCCACTCATATTAAAGCAACCAGTTCATTTCCCATCATTAGCAAACAAATCATCTCTCTCTTCAGTGAACTCATAGAGGTAGACTGAGGGTGAAGGCATTTATTTCATACTCTGGATCACACATAACAGTAAGATGCATATTGTAGAGACTCCAATAAGACAGAACATTTTTAAAAATCTACTAAAAGATGATTTTTGAAAATCATAACTTTCTCATACACAAAAATGCTATAATATAAATTAATTATATATCTAGAATGAGGTATACTATTGGGTTGTCAGAAAAGTCATGATGCATTTTTGCATAGAAAAAATATGTTATGACTTTTCTGACAACCCCAATACTTGCTTTCCAAAGACACAAAGTTTACTATTAGATAAGTTAGTAAGTTCCACATATTCTGAAAAGTACACTGATAGAGCATTAAGGGATATTACATATAAAATTACAAGTAGAAAATTTTCTACCAGACAGAGAGACTAATATAATTTTTTTTGAGAGGTTTTTGCTATAGGGCGCATGTGCTTGCCAGAAAGAACAGAGAGAGACAGAGAGCTAGAAATCGAGAAATCACCCCCCAGGCGGGATGGCCATGCCACAATCCCTTCTCCTCCATTCTCCTCTTGGGATCTTGGGCACACACGCACAGGTGCCTGACGTGAGTTTAAGCCACCGGGTCCGGGACTCGAACCGCGGTCAACTACACGGGCATCTAGCGACTTGGCCATTATGCCGACTGCAGCAACATAGCCATTACGCTAATTGCTGGTCCCAAGACTAATATAATTTCTAACTATGTGTTTTTTCTTTAAAGGAAAGAGAGATGTGCCCTGTCCCCACTGCCCAAACAAGGTCTTCACACAATCCACTTCCAGCTTCTGAAAGCCCTAGATCGTGAGTACATGCATGCCAAGTATGTTTGGTGAAGTCTTTAGTTGTGAACCAGGAAACTTCACACATGGGTCAGCTTCACAGAGCATTGTGCTAACATTATTCCACCATCCAGCATCCTAACTATGCATGAGTTTTTATAGCAGATTACCCAGGGGACCAGCAGTTAGTGTAATGGCTAGTCACTGGACTCCCACGTAGTCGACCATGGTTTGTGTCCTGGACCTGGTGGCTTAAACTCATGCCGGGCATGTGTGCGTGGCGTGCCCAAGATCCCGGGAGGAGAATGGAGAAGGGATTGCAGCATGGCCATACCCCGTGGGGGGTGATTTCTCGCTTTCTGTCTCTAGGTCTCTGTCTGGCGAGCGCACGCACCCTACAGCAAAAACCTCTCTAAAACAAACAAACAAACAAAAAAAGAAAACAGATTATCCAAAGGCAGAAGTCTTTTCTGTTCGAAAACTAGACATAAAGTGTATAAGTCTCCAATAGATAATAAAAAATTAAAAACCATCTATGTAAGAGCTAAAGTTAGGCTCTACATTAAATATACTATGATCTAAAAGCACCCAAAACTGAGTTTCTCCCAACTCTTACTAGATTGACTAAAATGAGATAAAACAGAAAAGCCTATTTTCTAGTCAGTTAATCACCAAAAGAAGTTTTGTGGGAACAAACAATATAATAATAATAAAAATAATAATAGCATCTTAGAAATGCAAGATTGATTTAACATATATAAAGAATCAATGAGGCCTGATGGTTAGGTCAGCCTGATCCCATAAGACAATAGATTTGAATCCCATGGTTCAAGTCCCAGACCTGGGGGAACCAGCAGTTAGCGTAATAGCTATGTTGATGGACTCCCATGTAGTCGACCGCAGTTCAAGTCCTGGACCCAGTGGCTTAAACTCACATGGGGTGCATGTGTGTGTGTGTGCCCAAGATATTGAAAAGAGAATAGAGGAGAAGGGATTGTGGTGTGGTCATCCCCCCAGGGGGTGATTTCTTGCTTTTTGTCTCTCTTTTTCTTTTTGTCTGGCGAGTGCACACGCCCTATAGCAGAAACTACTCCCCAAAAAAGAAGAAGAAAAAAAAAAGTCCTGGACCTGGTGACCTGAAAAACACACAGGTCATGTGTGCATGCCTGTGTGCCCAAAATCTCACGAGGAGGAAGAGATGGAGAAGAGTGTGGCTTACAGGGGAGGGTGCTTTCCCCTCTCCTCCTCCTCTCTCTCTCTGGGGTGTGCAAGCACTGGCTAGCAAAACAGAAAATAAATCAATATAATAAACTGTATTTGTCAAAGATAAAAACCACATAGTCATGGGACCAGCAGTTAGCATAATGGCTATGACGCAGGACTCCCATGTAGTTGACCATGGTTCGTGTCCCGGACCTGGTGGCTTAAAACTCAAGCCAGGTGCATGTGCGTGTGTGCCCAAGATCCCGAGAGGAGAATGGAGGAGAAGGGATTGTGGCGTCGCCATCCCGCCTGGGGGGTGACTTCTCGCTCTCTGTCTCTCTGTCTCTCTCTGTCTGGTGAGCGCACGCGCCCTATAGCAAGAAAAAAAAGCCTCTTCAAAAAAAAAAAGGTCATCTCAATAAATGCACATAAAGCACTTGACAAATTTAATTCTTTTCATAACTAAAAACAATCAATAAACTAAATATCAATAAAAGGAACTTTTTAAACTTCTTTTAAGGAATTCCTCAACTTCTTAACGGCACTACAAAACCAAAGCTTACAGCATGCTTAATGGTTAAATGTCTGAATGTTTTTCACCTAAGATAAGATGTTCACTTTGGTGACTTCTACTAAACATTCTGACTTCTACT